TTTGGTGTCTGTCATTAATTATAATTATTGAACATTATTTTCTTAAAGGGCTGGAGTGATAGCACAGCATTTGCTTTGCACATGGCCAACCCGGGTTCGATTCCTCTGTCCCTTTCGGAGAGCCCAGCAAACTACTGAGAGTATCCCTCCCACATGGCAGAGCCTGGCAAGCTCCCCCTGGCGTATTTCACTACGCCGAAAACAGTAACAACAAGTCTCACAAAGGAGACGTTACTGGTGCCCACTCAAGCAAATCAACGAACAATGGGAGGACAGTGCTAGAGTGGTATTTTCTTAAATATTTCCCTGCCCTATTTTTCCCTCTTCTATATTTCAGACACATGTACATTGATCAGTTGATAGTGTCTGTGACTCATGCATGCCCTGGTCTATAGTTTTCACTCTCATTCTCTGTGTTTCAGTTTCATTTCCTCAGGCTGCCTTCTTTCAGGCCCGCTAACCCTACTGCTAAGCCTACCAAAGGCATTCCTCATCCCTGTCACTAAGGTTTTCGTTTTGAGATTTTCCATCTGATTCTCTTACAGTTTTCTCTGCTTAATCACCTGATTTGAAATCTTGTTTGCCTTTTCCTTTGGTGTCTTTAACATAAGTATAACAATTCTAAATGAAGTATAAGACAGTTTGGACATCTCTGTCCTGAGGGGACTGATGATTCTTTTGTCTCTTGAGACTATGGGGATTTTCCTTGCTTTTCCGAAAGTTCAATTGAAAGAGTGATATCTGGGCTGGAGAGATAGCGCAGGGGTTAAGGTGTTGGCCTTGTACATGGCTGATCTGGGTTTGATAGCCAGGGGTGAGCCCTGAGCACTGCTGAGTGTGGCTTAATCACTCCACTCTCCCTACCCCCCAAAAAGAAGAAAAAAAATCAAGAGACACATCCTGTGCAGCACAGTAGAAACAAACAGGACAAATTATATGTCTGGGAACGAGTATGAATTTCCTTTTTGAAGACTTGAGTAAGGGCATTGAATTAACTTCAGATTCAGGCTGGCTTCAAAATTTGTTTTGATGGTTAACTTTTGTGCATCACAAACTTCATGCTCCTCTAGCAACACTGTACCTTGTGTCTAGGGCATGAAATTGGTTTGTCAGAGTTTCTGATGCCCACCCACCACACACACACACACACACACACACACACACACACACACACGGTCCACACAGCAGTGGTGGTGAGGATGACAGTCCTGGCCGAGTTCAGGCAATACAGGCGTGTGGGTGTTCCCGGGGTCTGCAGGGTCATAGCTGGGGCAGGCACTTCTCTGCACCGTGTCTCAGGGAGGCTTGTTCCAAGCTCTCACCCATTCCGGGCTCCTTCCCAGCAATGCTCTGCTCTCCATCATTAGGTTTGGCCTCTGAGCTAATGTGTGGGAGTCGGGGAGGAAGCCTCAGTCTTCGACAGAGTGTGGCTCCACCCCCCCTCAGGCCTTAATTCTGGGCCCGTGACATAGCTGTGTTCCTCTCCCTGCAAAATGAAAAAAGATTTTTCCTTTCTTTGTTCAGCTGACACGGATTTTCCCAGTGCCTACGCGGGATCACGCCAGTGGCCCTGCTTTCTACAGAGGAAAACTCTGGTTTTCTGGGAGACAGGCAAGAAGGGCCTGGGCAGAGCAGGGAGCCGTCTGTGTCCTAGCAATGGTCTCTCAGATCCTTCTAGGGCCTTCGCTGTAAATTCCTGGTGGGTTTTCAGAGAAAACTCCTGAAGAGGGTGTAGACTCTTCCAGTCTCCATAGCTCCCGAGGCTCTCTACTCCCGAAAGTGTGCTCACAGACTGTGTAAGCCGGCCAGCCTTCCCAGCTAAGCCAGGGCTCACATCTTGTCTTCCTCCCCAGGAGTTGGCTATTTCTTCATTTGACCAGTTGCTATTCCATGAGCCCAGAGAGCGAGGAAAATAGATGAGTCCTTCTCTGGCTCCGGGAGTGTTCATTCTGGCTCTGATACCCGGAAACCAACCCTAGAATTCTATTTTGTACTAGGAGCCCTGGCTTAGCTGGGATTTGAATGCAGTGGTCTTCTCAGGACAGCATCTTCTTCGTCACCTTTTGTTTTGGGTTTTGGGTTCCACCCAGCAGTGCTAGGAGCTTACTCCTGACTCTGTGCTCAGCAAGCACTCCAGGCAGTGCTTGAGGGGGACCATATGGAGTGTCAGGGATTGAACCTGTGTCAGCCGCATGCAAACAAACACCTCATCCATTTACTATTGCTCCAGCCCCTTTCTTCCCCTTTTTCAAAATATCCACTCCCACCCGACTGTATAGTCGTCCATGCGGCATCTCCTGAGCTCCTAGTACGCAGCAAGCCTGATGCTGGGGAGACAAAGGAGCTCACGGAGGCACAAAGACAGCAATGGCAGGGCGGGGCACAGGGACAGCTACAGCGCGAGAAGTCATCAGTCCAGGCCCTCTTGGCTGCCAGTCTCCTGCTCCTTGATCCATATTTTAAGCCATGTCATCATCTTCCCAGAAAGCCCTTCTAAGTGCAGTGACTCCACATGGGCCATGAGGTCAGCATCACGTACCCTCTGGGTACAGGAAGGAAAGCAACCTGGATTCCTCAGAACTGGGAACACTTTAAGGCAAGGTGCTTCCAGGTGTGTGTTTATGTTAGATGTGTGATTTCATCTTAATTGATTATTTGATACATCTAACAAAAACTCTGCACGCTTAGTATAATGTATCAGAGATTCAATGGATAAGAACAGGTACTACACTGGATCTTAGCCCAAAGGCTAAGTGATACAGAACACATATTTGAATCCCTCCCACACAGATGTCAGAAAGAGGAAGATGAACCCTAGTCATTAGGGTTTAAAAAAATTTTTTTTTTTTGTAGGGGCGGGGGTATCTGGCAAACCCAGTGATACTCAAGGGTGACTCCTCCTGGCTCTGTGCTCAGGAATCAATCACTCTGGGCAGTGCATGGGGAACCATATGGGAGGCGGGGATCAAACCGATGTTTTACCTGTATAAGGTGAGCGTGCTGCCCGCTGTACTACCGCCTCAGTCACTAGTCATCGTACTTTCAGGAGAGTGTTCTGGTTCTGCTCTATTCACTGTCTGACTTTAGACTTGCTACTTAACTCTCTGGGCGTTAGTTTGTTCATCTGTGAAAATTGTGGAGGCTAACACTGGCCATCTGAGGTGGCAGCGATGATGAAAAGAAAGAGCCTGGAATGCTGTCAGATCTCAAGTAAAGGGAGCTTCTCATTTCATCTCCCATTCCCGGGCTCTATTATTAATGGACACTTTGCTGTTCCAAAAGCCTTTTTATAAAAATCACTGATGCAAAGGCCACCAAGGAAAGACAGGGAGTGTGTGCAGGGGGACAGATCCTTTTCAGAAGAACTGATGAGATGTCAGGACTGACTGGAAGTCGTGAATGTGTACATGGAGTTTGGAACTGAGGGGTGACCCTAGAATCCACTGAGTGCACCTATAATTGGCTTTGACAGAGCTTCCTGTATTGACCAAATAACATACAAGAGATTCCTGCTGGGCAAATGGGGGTGAATTATTTAGTGTATCTCCATTTCAATGAGTTAATCAAGATAATTGCCATTTTTCCTGGATTGTTGTCTTTTCTGTGCAATTAATGAGGTCCTTGTTTAGAGAAAGGGACTTAACCAACGAACTCTAAAATTGCTGTGACATTCTGGGGGCAAACTGTATTTAAAAAATCTATTACACATCTTTTTTTTTCCCTTTGGATTCGAGCACTGTGAGAAAGGGGTTCGATCATGCTTGAAAGAACTTTCGACTCAAGGATCTAAGTTCGAACAAGCCAAGGGGCGGTGGGTCCGAGCTGAATAACTGTGAGCTCCAGCCCCAGACGGATTTGGCTGTGGTCCCAGGATGGCCAGGCATCACTGCCGAACAGTGGACCAACAAGCTGTGGCCTCAGTTTCTGTGTCTTGTAAAAGAGATGCTGTATATCCGCCACCTTTCAGCACTGTGATAAGGATGAAAAGCAGTAATGCATTTTCTAGCTCAGGAAGCCTGGGTTCTTTCTCACCTCCCAGAATTTATCAGTGGCTAATATAGTATTGTGAGTTGTCTGGAACAGGGCTAAGTTCACAAAGCAGCTAAAACTCTAAACCGAAGAAGTGGTGTTACAGTCTTCTCGGATTACAGCTCACCGGCAAGGGACATGACTCGGGGGACTAGTACACAGGCTTTGCATACAGGACAGCTGGGTTTCGTCCCCAGCACCACATGGGCACCTGAGCATGAAGCTGGGAGACGCCCCAAAGCCGGATAGAGAAAGAGAGAAAAGTTTGACTACTTATGTCTACATATTGTGTTTGAGAAGGGAACAAGCAAAAACACTCATAAGTTCTAGTCACAAAATATTTTTAAAATGTATTTCATGAGGGGTGGTCTCCTCAGTTCCCCTTAAGAGCCCTGGGACAACTCCTGGAGATATTTGGTCAAAACCTTATTTTTCTTTAAATATTCAAATTTAAAAATTTTTTTTTAGGTATTAAAACTTTCTCCATTTTCAAATCATACCCACAATCTATTTAACTTTGAAAAACCACCCGAAGATGTGGCCTTTGATTGATTATCCGGAAAAATCATCCACATAGAACTCCTTCTCACCATATTTCTGGGGTGGTTGCATGAAGCGGTTTCTAAGAAGTCTTCATCTACATCGCCTGCCTGAGCTCTGCTGGGCAGGGTCTCAATGCTTCCACATTACAGGGGTGGAAACTGAGGCCCGGAGAGAGAAAGTCAGTTCTTGGCAAGCTGGAGCAAGCTCAAGAATGCTGACTCAAGAGCTCTTGTCTTTTCTACTAGCCCAGAATCCTTCCTCGGAGCAATGATGTGGAATATGAGTATGAGAGATCTCTGGTTCATAGACCTCAAGCCTACCATAGTCAAGTATACAATGCGCACAAGGCACCAACATGTCATCAATTCACCTCTAGGCCCATGTGCATCTCCCAACACAGAGCACCGATGGCTTTGTCTCATACTTACTCATAAAACGTCGTCCACCCATTTTCATTGCTTTTGGCTGCCAGAAGACCTGAGTTGCCATGGTAGGTCATCATGGCCAACTCGTGTCCTTGTGTGGTCACACTCCTGAGTGCACTGTTGGTGCCCATGGTCACCCAGTACACCTGGCCGTCTGGGACCACGAGCCAGAGGGGCATGCCGGTGGAGTCTCGCCGGATGTTCACCATGTTGCCGTTGTTGTCGGTGATGAGTGTGACGTCACCCTCGCCGGTGTAGGTGAAGTTGTACAGGTAATCACCTGTGGGCAGGCTTTGGGTATAGAGGTGCCTGCCATTGGTATCAAACAGGTAAAGCTCCTGGTCGATGGGTGAAGACAGCTCATACATATTCTGGGTGTTGAGGAAAGGCTTGTTCTTCCTGATAAACCGGATTCGGATATTCCCAAGGTCTGCCACATACAGCTCACCATCAGCACACACAGCCAGGGAGGATGGGGTGTTGAGCTTCGCGTCCTTGGCATAACCATCGTCTCCAGAGAAACAGTCACAGTTGGCGTCATTCTTACAGTCACAGCCACTCGGAGCCCCGGCCACCAGCGAGATCTCCCCGTTAGTGGTGACCTGCCGGATGCGGTTGATCTTCTTCTCATCAGTCTCGGCAATGTACAGGACCCCATTGTGAGAGACAGCCACTGCAGTGGCTGACTCCAGGGTGGCGTGGATGGCCACCTTGCTCAGCAAGAAGTGGTCGATGCCGGGAACCTGGCAGTGCATGGGCCTCCCAGCCACGATGCGCACCTGGTGGTTTTCAGAGATTTGCAGGACCACGTTGTTGTCGAGGACGTAGAGGGAGTTGTCCATGGGACTGATGGCTAGGTCTGTGGGCCACTCCAGGCGAACCTGCCAATGGAGACATGAACACTCAAATGCCTGTCCGGGTGCCCACCACTCACGATCACTGTCTCAAGTGTCTTCAGTCGAGACCTCTCTCAGTCATGCAGAAACCTGCCACTAGCCATGACTTCAGCCCACACCCCCACCAACACAGTGAAACCACAGGAGCCTCCCCTGAGAGAGCTGATGGACTCCATTAGACACACCAAATGCAAAAGAAGGGGATAACCAAAAAACTGACAGCAATCAAGCCAAAAATCAGTGGGTCAGCGGATGAACTTGGGATTCCGACAGGACTGGGCTGGGATCCAGCCCCCTGACTGGGGGAAGTGACCTTGCCTTTCCGAGCCTCAGTGCCCTCATCTGTGAAGTAGGAACTGTGACCACACAGTGTATCCAATCCACAGAAAGTGCGCAGGCAGCAGCAGCAGCAGCAGCAGCTAAGGCCACGTTAAGTGTGGCCACCGAGCTCATTATGGGGAGGGCAGGAAAAGGCACGTGGATTTTGGAGGCAGAGCAGGGAGGTGTGGAGAGGCCGAGGAAAGACAGGTCTGAAAGATGGACCCTTAATTCTTGGAATTCTTGGGCTGGCACTGGCAAGGCTCTGGGGCTGCAGGACAACGCCGTCGTGACTCTAGCCAGGCCCAGGGAGTTTCAAACCTGGCAGCTCTCTCGTAGACCCTGTGGGTATCTTGGGAGGCATCAGTGCTTAAGCCCCACTGCAGGCCATTAAACCAGACCGCCAGGTGTGGGACCCGGGCACGGTTCCTAACGTTTCCTCAGTGACTCTCGAGTGAGCGTGGAGCTGCTTTTCTGCAGTGCAGCCAGAAAGCAGGCCTCTCCAGGCAGCTGTCGGAGGACAGGCCTCCCCCAGCCACTGGAGACGGAGTCTGTGCTAACCAGGCTGGGAAACCAGGCTGGAGAGAGGTCTGGGACCTCAGACTGTAGGTCCTCCAGGCAGTGGGCTCTAGGAGTTCTGAGTCCTGGACCCCAGGCTTTAGTCTTTTCTGAGCCAAGCTGGGAAGCTGAACCAGATTATAGTGACCTCCTGGCAGGCTCTGAGGCCAGAGCTGTATCAGCTGCACCCTTGGGTGTGCTCCACCAAGGGGGTTTGGCATTAAGGGACCCTTTCTGCTAAGTGTGTCCCCAAAGGTCCCAGCTACACTGACATCGCTGATTTGTGACCCCCCTTTCTCCTTTCTCCAGTTCCCTCCAAGGACTCACTAAAGGCCCCGAGCCCCCTATAGACCGTGACATTCGGATTAATTTGGGGCTATTTAAACACGGGGCTATCTTTAGCTAAGAAATGTCCCTTCCAGAAATTTACTCTTGAGCATCACTGTCCACAGGGATGTCTGTCACAGCCAATTTTAATCACGCTGGAAAAAAAATGGAACCGCCTCAAATGCCAGCCCAAGACGGGAAATGGGATAAATGAATTCCACGACATTCAGTCTGCCCGCATGCTCGAATACTGTGTGGAACCATTAAAAGTGCTATTATAGATGGGTATTTAATGGCACGGGGAGATGGTTGTTATGTATGCAGGGGTGAGATCAGGCTACAAATCTGGAAGCACAGCGTGATCCCAACTGGGGAGAAAGACCAAGGTCAATCAGACACACTGGGGCTGCAGGAGAGGGAAAAATTTGAGGCAGATACAAGGAACTGTTACCTGTACGGGCACGGAATTGCACATTTTCCTCGTTGTAATTCTGAACTTCTCATGGATTCTAAAGGCTCACGGGATGGCTTGTGAGCCATCTGGTGAAAAGGGAAAAGCCCTGAGCACCCACCAGCGAGGGGGAGTGTCCAGGGCTGGAGGGCCTGCGGGCTCTTTCTAGTATCCTCTGAGGGCAGTCCTCAGCCCTGTTTTGTTTTTTTTTTGTTTGTTTGTTTCTGGGTCACACCCAGCGATGCTCAGGGGTTCCTCCTGGCTCTGCACTCAGGAATCACTCCTGGCAGTGCTTGGGGGACCATATGGGATGCTGGAATTCGAACCCAGGTCGGCTGCAGGCAAGGCAAATGCCCTACCAGCTGTGTTATCGCTCTAGCCCCTCAGCCCTGTATTTGGAAGTCTCACTGGACCTGGACACTTTTGTCCCCACAGGACAAAAGAGATAGTGCAGTGGTTTCATACATCTGCGCTCTGGCCCTCAGCAGAACCTGTGCCTTCAGCTGCATCAAAAACACGGTTTATATTTCCAGGTATAGCCGAAGTGACATCTACACTTGTTTGTTCATTGCAGCACTGTTTACAATAGCTAGAATCTGGAAAAAACCTGAGTGCCCAAGAACAGATGACTGGTTAAAGAGAATTTGGTTCATCTACACAATGGAATACTGTGCAGCTGTCAGGAGAGATGAAGTCACGAACCTTGCTTATAAATGGATAGACATGGAGAGTATCATGCTAAGTGAAATGAGTCAGAAAGAGAGGGATAGACATAGAAAGATTGCATTCATCTGGGGGAATATAAAGTAACAAAATAGGAGACTAACACCCAAGAATAGCCAAGATAAGTACCAGAAGGTTTATTCCATGGCTTGGAAGCCAGCCCACATGCTAGGGGAAAAGGCAGCTCAGACAGAGAAAGGAGCACCAAATAAAGGGTGTTGGGAGGATCCTCCCAGGATGGGAGATGCATGTTGAAAGTAGACTATAGACCAAACATGATTGCCACTCAATGCCTCTTTTGCAAACCACAACAACCAAAAGGAGAGAGAGAACAAAAGGGAATGCCCTGCCACAGAGGCGGGGTGGGATGGAGGGGATGGGGGGTGGGAGGGATACTGGGACCTGTGGTGGTGGAAAATGGGCACTGGTGAAGGGATGGGTACTCGATCATTGTATAACTGAAACCCAAGCACAAAAATTTGTAAGTCTATAACTGTACCTCATGGCGTTTCAATAAAAATAAAAAAAAAAAAAGAAAAAGAAAAGAACACAGTTTACCCTGAGAGTGGCAGGGATTTTCAGTTTCCCAAAACCCATCTAATGCATCCTATCCGATGCCCCGGGGGCCTGTTTTTGGACTCTGCTACCTGTCACTTAGAAGAAATTACTGTACCTAATGGATACACAGTAACTGAGGGACATAAGAGGGAGCTTGCTGGGATGAAGCTGACTGTGGTGGGCTCTGCCCCTGGGTCCCAGACACCAGCAGTCCTGGAGCAGGACCAGTGCCTGGGGTCTGTCCTCCCAGTCAGCAACTCCCAAGGCTCCAGATCCCACTGGGTGCCCCACCTGCAGAGACCTTGGCTCCCATCTCCAGGATGGGCGGGGCCTGCTGCGTTCCTGGGGGACCCCAGGAGGGGACAAGCACCCCCTATCCTGAGCTCTATGCCTCTCAGAAAACATCCAAGGTGATCATGTCTCAGAGCCAGAATGGCAGGGACAGCGAGGCTTCGGGTCAGAGTCTCTCCTCCTAGTTCCGCTTCACAGTGACTCTAGGTGCAAACTTCTTAGGTCCTTTTTTGGTTTGATTTGATTTGGGGGCCACACCAGTGGTGCTCAGGGCTAACCCCTGGCTCTGTGCTCAGAGATTCTTGTGGGGCTTGGGGGGCTACATGGGGTCCCAGGGATTGAACCTGCGTTGGTTGTGTGCAAGGTCTTACCCCTGTAATATCCTTGAACTTCTTTTCCCATATGCGAAAGGAAGTAATCAAAATTTTTGTTTGTTTGTTTGGGGGCCATACTCAGCAATGCTCAGGGATCACCACCAGCAGGGTTTTGGGGACCAGATGTGGTGCTGGAGATTGAACTCAGATTTGGTCGCCTGCAAGGCAAACATTGTACTATTGCTCCAGCTCTAAGAGGTAATAAATAAATATTGCACAAGTAGTAGTCATAAGACTCAAAGTAGATAGTGTGTAAGAAAGCTTTTTTAAAAAATAAATTACAAAGAGAACTGGTATTTAATCTGGGCTGGGAAATTTATGTCCATGATTTTATTTAAAAGTGTTCATACCCCCATATCTGATGGGACCTAGAAGAAGACTTTGCATTTATAAGTAATGTGTCTTGCACCAAGTCTCGATCTCTTTCTGTAACTCGGGACAGACAGGATCTACTCGTGGGTCAGAGAGATAGTGCAGTGGGAAGGGCCTCTTGCCTTGCATGTGGCCAACCTGGGTTCAATGCCCAGCAACCCCCAGAACTTCCAAGAGCAATTTTTGAGTACAGAGCCAGGAGTTACCTCCGAGCATCACCAGGTGTGATACTCAAAACAAACACAATAAAAGATCTACTCTTGGGTGCCAGGGAACCACAAGTCTGTTCCTACAGCGGCCATCACAGAACACCCTGCAGGGGGATCTTGGCGCCTGGGCAAAGGGCGATGATGCCTGTCTGCAGTGGCCGCAGCCCTCGGAGCTGAGAATTCATCTCCCCTCTGTGTGAAATGTCTCACTGCTTTCTCATCAACAGAAACCCTTGCTGAACCACCCAAGTTTGGTGCCAATGTCGCCCTCTGTGAAGGTGGGACGGGGCCTGGGGACTCTCCCTCCTATGTGCTTGGCAGTGCCCTGCGCCCTGGCACACTGCCCACTTATTCTCAACACAGAAGCCTCGCCAGACTGTAGCCAATCATTTCCACTGTACAGATCTACCACATGAGGCCCAGAGTTCCCTTCCTGACACTCTTGAAGGTTACCCAACCTGGGAGTGACAAAGTGCACTCGATCCATTCATCAGAGACTCACGAGCACATACTGAAGGTGCAAGTGGCCTGGTTCCAGGGCAAATGGCAGAGATCCTGAACTCATGTGGTTCAGGACAGTGGGTCAGTATCTGTGTCTTCAGAGAGGAAGCTCAGGTCTCAGAGCAATGAACAGTGGGTAGGACACTTGCTTTGTGAGGAGGGGACCAGGGTTGACTCTGGCACAGCACAGGGTCCCCCGAGCCTGCCAGGAGTAATCACTGAGCACAGAGCCAGGAGCAAGCCCTGAGCACCATGGGATATGGCCCAAACCATAAGAAAGAGGGCACTTCAGGCCTGAGGTTCAGCCCTGCCATGGGGGGTTACTGCCTTTCAGGCCTCCTGGCCACACTTCACCCCTTCTCCAAGTCTCCCCATCACCCCTTCATAACTCATGGTGAACTCGGGGTGCACAGAGCTGCATGCCCCCTCCTGCTTGGCCCACTCTACTTACCTGAGAAATGTCCATGACTGAGTCACAGCTGAGGGGCCGCGCCGAGGTGAGGTCATTGGAGCCCAGCAGGGTGGAGATGATCCCATTCTGATCAATGCGGCGGATCATGGTGCCATCCACGAAGTAGATGAGTCCAGACTTGTCCACTGTGATGCCTGTGGCAGAGAACCCAGAGTGGGGAGGTCAGCGTGGGGGGCGTGACAGTGTCTCTGCTCACGGACTCTGGGAGGTGGGAGCTCCTCCGGTTCAGGGGAGCAAGGATCTGGACCACCACATTCATTCCAGAGACAGCCAGCCAAAGGCCTGGAGCTAGAACCAAGCTCTCCTGAGTTCCCAGCAGATACTTCCCATGGCCAGAGGCAGAACTTTGCTGCTGGGCCCTGGGAAAGGTTCTGTGGCTTCACACAATGGGTTTCAACACTGGTCTATGGGCCCATGTGGTCCCTTGGGGTGGTGGTGGTGGAAAGATGGGGAATCTTTGCTCCGGGGGTCTGGCCCCCTTCTCTGCCCCTGGGGAGGGCTCCCATTCGTCACCTGCTAAAGTTCACTTGTGTCTCCTGGGGTTTGCTAAGCCCCAGAGGTGGGAAGAGGGACTTGTCCCAGTACCGAGACTGTGACTTACCCCAATTACCCACCCCTGAAACCTGCACTTGTCAGGATCGAGCCCTGGTTTTGGTGACAAGTTTGATCTCCAGAGAGAAAATTCTGGATGTTTGCTTGTGCTGGTTCATTGGTCCTTATAGAAACATGAAGCCTAAAAGGAGTCCACAGGGTCTGTGGGAAGAATATCCATGAACTTAACTTTTAAAAGTGAGACCTCAAAGAGTGTCTGGATTCTGGTCTCCTATCACCTGGTCTGTGTGCCTAACCAGCCTGCCCCGGGGGTGTCCTCCCTGCCCCTCTAGTAACCTTGGGCAGGGCACTGGACACTTTCTCAGCTTCCCTCTGAAGGGCTCATTCTAAGTCCACACTCTTCCCTCTTGAAAGCTTGTGAGAATAATCTGGGAGCTTACTGGAATGTACTCTCAGGCCGGTGCTTCCAAAAATGTCAAGGTCCTTTTGATCAGAACCTTGGGTTATGGTGGAAAGCCAAGCTGGAGAAAGATTTTGGAAAATCAGGGCTTCTTCCCGAGCCCGTGTTTCTGAATCACCTGAAATTTTCTTCCAACTGTTCCTTCTGGCCTCTCTCACCACCGGAAATAGTCCTGTGCGGTGGCTTGGAGTGGTGCCAGGTGAGTTTCCCAGCTCCAGGGGCGATGCTGAGCACCAGCTCTCTTCAGAATCCTCTCCTGCACCCAAACCAAGACCGCTCTGTGCTGCTGCCAACTGAGGGTGGGTGGCACATGCCCTCTGGGAACATGTGATCTAGAGGGGTGGACCGGAGGGGTGCAGGGAGGTTCATGGTGGGAAGCTGAGACCCATATGCTTTCTTGGGGTAGAATGGAAGAAGGGATCTGAAGGCAGAGGCAGGAGCACCTCCAGGTAAAGCTCAGAGGTCTGATCTTGGCACTGGACCCCCATATCAGTTTGCTCACTGAGGAAATGGGGCTCACGGCATCTGACCTGCTGTACTCACGCCTCATGACTGACAATTACGAGAATGTGACCAGCCAGTTGTGGGACCCTGGTCCTTGCTTGGGGCCGCCACAAGCATCCACTGGGGACTTTAGGCCTCGTGGTGAGCACCCGTGGGGGCAGGAGTTGCTTCTAAGGCTGTCCAGGGTGGGAGAGTGACTCCAGGGGAGTACCCACCCATGTCAGGGCGTGAAGTCTTTCTGTCCCTTGTGTGGAATATGAGTGGAATGTGAATGAATCGCTTTGTTCAGGTCCCAGGAAGGTGTTTTCTTGTCTTTTGGGCTCTGTCTTTTCTTCCATCTGCTAGGAGGAATGGTGCTCAGTGAACAGCCGGGTTTCTTGTTTACCAAGTTGTTGCACAGACTCGTAGAAGCGATCTGTCCCCTGATGAATCACTTCATTTCCCCCGTCCTTTGGTGGTGCTAAATAGACAGGCATCCCCCCTCCCCCCCAAACACCCTGTTGCAAAGCGTCTGCATATGGCGGCTCCCTGGTCATTTCTCTAGCTTAATGACTGGCTTTTGGGGCTATTTCACTGCTGTGTGTGTGTGTGTGTGTAGAGAGAGAACACTTATGTAGAACAGCAGAAAAAGATCTGGTGAGAATAAAACTCCTCGGAAAGAAAAGGCACTAATTCTTAGAGGGTGAAAGGCCTTGAGAGGGGTCCCCAGGAGCGTTTAGCTCAATCTTCTCAGTGAATGACGGGAAAACCAGCCTTGAGATGGGGGACACGGGGACTGGGAGGGGCAGAAGCCACTCAGCAGTGCCTTTAGGGGCATGCCCGGTGATCCTGTCCTTCCTGGCTACTCTCTTGGTGTTGGGAATTCACAGTTAGCCATGGATGCCACAATAGTCACCTCTCAGAGTTACCAAGTGATGAAGCATACGGTCTGATCCCAGTAAAGAGAGTTACATCACAACATGATGACGGAGAGGATCGAAGCTGCTCCACTGTCCTGTACTAAACAATGATCCTATCAACCACCATTGATAAGACATGGATCATGTGTGTGATACTGTTAGATGAAGAATTCACATTCCTGACAACATTTCATCTGTGCCACACTGTGTGGTATAGCTCCTGGACTCAGATGAGGAAAATGAGCCTTGAAGAGGTCAAAAGACTCACCCACAGGAACAGTTATTGGTGGGCAGTGTTTGGGTAAGACATAGGACTGTCCGCTTTGGCTAGTCTCCCAGTTTGACTCCAAAGTACTCATGTATCTGGCCTGGGGAGGTAGTACAGGGTCCATGCAGCCTTGCCTCTGCCCCAATCCGATCCCAACACCACATGGCCCCTTGCTCCAGGCACCACCAAATCTGACCCTGGAGGCACCCAAGCGTCACCACATGTGGCTCTTGTGGTCCTGGCACTGCAGGGCCGAAGCAGCATTGAATCTTTGGGCCTGGCATTGACTTAGCCAGCTGGGTTGGCTGGTGTGCCACCTGAGCTTTCCTTGGGAACTTCAGAAAGACTGAAAGTGCATGTACCAACCACTTTTACAATGATTCTTAGAGGCACCCTGGGTCTAGCAGAAGCTGTGAATTCTGACACGAGTAACAGAATCACTCATAATATCCTCATAGGCTATTAAATGAAAGAGATTACTTTTGACCCCTGGAAAGATTCTTGGGGTGGCTGTGGGTACCATGCCCCCTCTTCCATTGCCATCACTGAGGCTGACAGGGGAGTCAACTGGGTGTAGGGCCTGCAGCAGTGAGTGTTCTGCTGATGGATGCTGGGGAGAATGTGACTTCCCTCTGCAAAACTTTTAGTCACCCTGTGCCTGGGCCTCCCTTGGCTCTGGACCTGGGGTTCTGGACCTCAGTTCTTCCCCTCTTGCGGTCCATCGCCTGCTCTCCTGTGTCACATTGACTGACCCATGCTCAGGCCTTATTTGGTCTGCTAGAGTGAAAGTGATCATGTGACCACAGTGTGCCAAGCCATGGCAAATACCTGTGCATCTGTGAATGAAACATTATGACTGTGGGGAGGAAGAGGTACACGTGTTTGTTTCTAAGCCACTGTGGTGATGCTCAGGGCTTCCTCCTGGATCTACACTCAGGGATCATTCCTGGCGGTGCTGAGTGGATCAAATGTAGTGCTGGAGACTGAACCCAGGTTGACTGTGTGCCAGGGAAGTAAGTGACTTACCTGTGCAACTATCTCTCTGGCTTAGAGGTACAAGGTTTGAAGGACTCAAAATGAAAACATACAATTAACCACCCTTTTATCACATGAGTATGTGCAATGAAGATATACTGCAATGATTTCACAGAATAATAGGAGCGATAATACAAATGTCTAACAGCAAGGGATTGATGCATGATGGGACATTATTTTGTGGTATACTAAACAGCGATGGAAAAAGTATTCATAAAGAATGACACAGAGCCTGACATAGGGAACGTCATGGGGACAATGACACGGACAATGCTCACGACCAACCCTCTAGGGAAAAAGCAGGCTGCTAAAAGAGTTTTCTTTTGGTTTTGATTTTTAGTAAGCATAGACACGAACAACTTAAAAAGAAGACCAGGTGAGAATGGACTGGGAAGATTCCTGGCAGGAGGGCTGATGACAATTGTAGCACCTTTCTGCTACGGAATTCTTGATAGTCTCCAACATTTAAAAAAAATTTAATTTTTCTGCATGATTGATCTGGCAGCCATTAAAGGCTGCTTGCTGACGAGGTTTCAAGAGCATGGTCTTACCCCTGGGATTGGTGAGTGTGGCTTCAGTGGCTTTGCCGCCGTCCCCACAGCGGGTGTCATCGAAGGGCAGGCACTGGTCCCCTGTCCCCGCCACCACCTCGGCGTTCTTGACGAGATCCTTCACCACCACTGTGGACTTGATCTTGAAGACCCGTCGGCTATTGGTGTCAGAGAGGAAGACGGCCCCGCTCATGGGGTCAGTAGTCAAGTAGTACTTGTGCGCTGGGCTGTGACTGAAATACAAGGGCACACGGGGTGAGTGTCTTCCTCCTTCCTGCCAGGCAGCCAGGCACGCAGAGCTGCATTCCATGCAACGCCTCCGCTATGGGGTATGATGGACCAGACTGGCTGATGGCTCTCCACCTTTCCTCACCCCAGCTGCTGGCCTGACTCTCCCTTCAACCCAAATGTTGCTACACAAGCTAACGATCGTGACACCCAGCGGAGTGGCACGGCCACCTGTTTCCTTGAAACAATTTTCAGTGAGACTCATCAACAGGTAGCCTGGCAATCCAAGCCAGAAGCAAACACACCTGGAGAGCTCAAATCAGGAGCCCTTCTCCCGAGGGGAGAGGGCTCCCAGCTTAGGGACCTGCAGAAATAACCTTGGCCAGGCCCATTCTCAATATCAACACTGAGTCCTCCGGAGACTCCGGGGAACAAGCCAGGGGCCTTAGAAGCATCCGCCTGCAGGTGGGCGTAAACGAATTACTGGATAAGCTTGTGATTTGTAGCAACACTCAGGTCAACATAACCAGAAGGGAAGAAGGTTCTGTTTCTCTCTGCAGAGAGCATCAGGACCAGGCGGTGCCCTGGGGAAAGGGGCCGAGCAGGACCATGCAGAGGCAGCGTGAAGCACGGCAGCACCCCCCAAACTCATGGCAGGATGCGCGGGCAGGCCTAGGGATCAGATCAGCGTGGGGGTGGCGGCCTTGGTGGCACAGTGGTGAGCAGAGTTGCCTTCCAGATCAGCCTGGGGCAGCTCTGACACGTTCCAGTTTCAGAGCCCAGCAAGTTCAGCACCTCTTGAAGCTCAGGCTCTTTCCCCTTACAGAACGGGAATGTTCCCCAGCTACCCTGCCAGTGTGTCAAGGAAATCTTAGCAGAGAGGAAGGAAATTCACACAGCGCGGAGTAGATTCTCAAGAATCCGAATTGTGATTCTATTTATTAGCCACCCGTCCACCATTGCTTTTGGAGCGGACCACAGGAGGTCTCTTAGGAAGCCTGCATTTTGCTGGAGTATGGTATAGATTTACACTGTCTTCTGAGTCTAGGCCTCGCTGGAATTGGAATTTGAACTTCCAGGAAGTGAATTCACAGTTTCTAGGCACGGCTTGAGCATTACTGGCCCTCAAACTTCATCGAAATGTGGGTAGCCTCTTTCCAATCTTTGGGAAGTCTGCCACATGATGGCCTGGCCCTGGGAATTTTCATCAGATTGGGGGGGACACGCTGTACCCGAGATTCTGGGGACTGAGTGAGTTTGTGCCTCGAGAACCAGAAAGCGGGGGTGCTTTGCCGATGGGCAAGGAACAGAATTTAATGCGTCTAGAAAGATGCCCTTTTAGGTTGGCCAGGCCAACCTTCAAAGAGGCACCTTTGAATCAAACTGCGTCTTCCAGGCTGAAGGTCCCAGACGTCATACAGGCTCTGCACAGACTCTTGGCAGTGTGAGGGTCTCTGAAGACCTTCGCGTGACCTTGGCTGCCCTTGATCCTAACCACAATGCTTCAGGCCCGCGTCTGGAAGACTGGCCACTTCAAACTGGCCAAGACTTTATCTCTGATTTTCTCTCCCCAAATTCAGCCAAAATGCACATTTAAAAAAAAAAACTTCATTGTCTTCTCAGCCCTGAAACTTCTCAGTCTCCCTCTGAAGTAAGGGATGATGCTTCCTTCCCCCCCCCCCCCCATCCCCCTGCCCCGCCAAGCCAGTCTTCCTTGACCGAATCCCCAGGTCAACATGCCTCCCGTCCACTCACTGCTTCCCTCCCACAGCCCGTTTCCTGTGGGCAAGTCTGGCCCCACACTGGCCATGGGTGTCTGCTGCACACCCTCTTCCCTGCCTCTGCCTGGCTGCATGCTCAGGGAGGCTCTGGACTCACAGGACCCACAGCCCGTCTCCAGACAAGCCCAGATCTCAACAGTCCCTGACTCCGAAGCCCTTTCAACTCCATGCCTGCTGCAGCTGTCGGCTCAGCCACTGCCTGGTCTGGCCTGCCTGTCCTGTGCGCGATGTCCCATCACTGCTCTACAGGTCACAGCTCCAGAGCCCTGGACCCATATTGAATCACTTCTTGGGTCACCCTTAGCGGACGCACTGCACCCATGCTGGGAGTCCAGTCTCGTGGGAAACCTTTGCTCCCCTTGGCGTGGGGTTGCCCCCATCAACACACACAGGCGCCACATGAAACACACCACCTCGCTCTCCTCATGACCACCACTGAGTTAGAAGCTTGCTGGGTAGGGGTGGGGTGGGGGGACATTCATAAGATTGAGCTTGGGAGAGGTGATCTGGGAATCATCAGGACCGGAAACCACGTGGGGCAGATGGGAGCTCCCCCTCAGAGCCGCGGGGTGCTGACTCAGGGCTTTCCCCACTGCCCCACGCTGCCTGTCAAGGCTTAGGAAGCCCCATTCCTCAGCTGTCAGGGGCCAGGATCCCTCTAGGATCCTTCTAGATCCTGATAGACCCTTCTGTCTTCTCAAGAATATCCCAAGGCCCCCGAAGGCAGGCAGCAGCTCTGTGTGCTTGGTCTGGCACTGGTGCAGAGCAGAGCAGAGCAAGTGGTCTAGGCAGGCCCGTGGGACTGAGCAGGAGTGACCTGCAAGTAGGCCCAGGAAATGCCAATGATCTCAGAGTAAGGATTCGCAATCAGTTCCATGCCAGGGTCCCTGGGAACCTCTGAGAAAGATGCCTGCATGTGGGAGGAAAGGGCCGGGACGTCTGGGTTGTTACCTCCTCTACGGGAGACGGAGACCCGAGGAGATCTGGAGGACGTGGCCCCAGAGCAGGGCTGTCCACAGGGGAATGGCTGGCACAGAGGTCTGGGGGCTGAAGAGACCCACAGAGGGAACGGTGCTTGCCTTGCATGCAACTGCTGCAGAGTCTCCAGAGCACTGCCTGGAGTGATCCCTGAGTGCATTTCAGCAGTTCTGAGTGCAGTGGGGGGCAGGGGTCTCTGCTTGGAGCAGAGGATGCGATGCTGCTTGGGGGTGCTGGAGTGCCGGACCGCCGGGCAGTCGAGGCAGCAGGAAAGTCCCCAGGCCTGAGCTGGGAAGGGGGCTCAGTGTCCAATCCTGAGGGCAGGGCTCAAGTCTGACTGTGCTCTGACCTCCCGCCACATCCCATCTGGCTTACGGAGCAGGGCTGAGAGCAGATGGGGCCCAGGGGAGACACAGACCCTGTCTCACTTCCATACACATAAGGAGGTGACTGAGGCAGAGGGCACAGGGGCACTCCTGCACTCAGTGGAACGACATCAAGCTCTCTCTGTGCGTCTTATGCAGTGCAGACCCTCCCAGGTAGCAACAGGGAGCCGGGCAGCCCCCTGGGTGCAGGGCAAGCAGTGCCCCTCAGAGCGCAGCAGCTCTGCCTCCCAACAAGGAGGCAGCCTTGGCAGAGCCCTAAGGGCAGAGGGCAGAGGCCAGGTCTCCCACCCCTGAACAAATGACCGCACTACTTTGACCTCCACTTTCTCCTCTGAGAAATGGAGCCGATCGCATCTGCTTCCGAGGGCTACTGACGACACAATGCACAACGTGATGGGCCAAGCGTGTTAATCTGCAGGAACGGGGAGCCTGTTTCATAGAAAGAATAAAAATGTCCCTCGAATGGAGACGGCAAGTCACATTGAGAAGTCTCCAGAATAATTATGCTTCTGCATGATGGAAAAGCCAAGCATGTCAGAGTTAATGTTGGCCCATTTGATTTATTTCTCAGGGCAGTGAAGATCCTGGCTAAAAGTTCACATACAGGGGCTAGAGTGATAGCACAGCGGGTAGGGCATTTGCCTTGCACACGGCCGACCCGGGTTTGATTCCCAGCATCCCATATGGTTCCCTGAGCACCACCAGGAATAATTCCTGAGTGCAGAGCCAGGAGTAACCCCTGAGCATCGCCAGGTGTGACCCCCCCCAAAAAAAAAAGTTCACATACAGAGCAAGTTTGGTGGAAGCTCGCGTCCAAAATGCAGGCGTCACGCAGCTCCCAGGGGCCCCCACACAAGGGATCTAAGAAGAGGTGAGGATCCTCCTGCTTGAGTGGATATTCGAAGCAAAAGGCCCGGAATACTCAGGGCTCCAGGAAGGTGTACACCCTGCATGAGATTTGGGCTGACAAAAGATGTATGTGACCTGGGGCCACTCACACAGACCTGGGCTGAGACTGACTTGATTCCTGGGAGCCAAGAGGTAGGAAATACTCCTGATGAAGACAACACAATCTTAGAAGTTCTTGAGTGTGCTTCCGACATTTATTTGAGAGAGAGAGAGAGAGAGAGAGAGAGAGAGAGAGAGAGAGAGATGCGGAGAGAGGAAGGGATTTGCCAAAATCCAGGTGCCAGTTAAAATCCGAGTCTGAACTCAGTCTTCAATGTCATTTAGAAAATTCCGAGGCAAAAGCAAAATCCCCCGCCCCCTTCTAGTTTGGTTTAATTGGAAATGTTTTAGCCCCTGAGGGAATCACCAATGCCATGCCCACCGACTGCTGAGCATCAGAGCAAAAGGTGCCCGAGTCACGACTTGGCCCAGAACACGGATGGTGAAACCGGAAACGGGGTGAGTCAGGTGAGTGCACAGAGCCCTGTCAGACAGGAAGCCCGGGTCCACTGGCTCCCAAGTGGCCCCTCGGACTTCAGGGCTGAATGCTGGCTGCAGGGTTCTCAGCCCAAGTGCTCACCCAGCACCTTTGTAGGAAACGTGTTCTGCATTTCCTGCAGAAAACTTGAGACCTCATGTTCTGTATTTCCTGCAGAAAACTTGAGAGCTCACACCAACTCATAGTCCAGAGTCAGCCACGGGAAAACCACCGAAAATCCCTTTAGGATTCAGTCATAGAAAAGGAAGAGCCCCTCCTTGGGGAAGCAGCCCAGTCCCGGTTTTTGACAGTGCGGTGTTGATGAGAACTCGTTTCCCCTGCTGACTGCGGCAACTCGGGTATATCAGAACAGACCCCTGTGATTTCCTGCTCCACTGCTGTCCCCAGACTTAAAGCATGTGTCTTCGGCTGGAGGAAGCTGGAGGCACAGTTGCCACCGCCGACCTTGGGAGCTCCCCTCTCTGCCCGACTCACAGCCTTCCTAACCAAAGGCACTACGGAGGAAACTTCCAGCTCAGAGAAAAAGCCATACCACCCAGGATCACGTGATGGGGGGGGTCTTCAGTTTGGTCCCTAAAGATGGACAAGACCATGAGCCCCAGCTACAGAGGGTGGTTTGGGGAGGGGATGCTGGGGTCCACGGAGATGATTCCGCCCATCCTCTGCTCATGGGGAATGAGCTACACTCGTTTATCCTCTCTCCACTCAAACACGGGGCTCATACCCCATCTCATCACGGAGACACGTAGTATGCCTACGGGTCCTATTGATGGTGTGTCTCTCTCTCTCCCGTTCTAGGATGTTCTTTCTTCCTTATCTTCTTCCTTACTTTCCAATGGTGCTTGGGTGTAACTCCCAGCTCCATGAGCAGGACTCTGTGCAGTGCAGGGCAGGGGATCAAACTCCAGGCTCCCATATTCAAAGCATGCGCTCAGCGCAGGGAGCCGTTTCCTCGACTCCTATATTCCTTCCAGGTTTGTCAGCACGCGACCCACAGGACCCTTGGCAGGAGCCACACACAGAGAACGGGGGCCAGGCAACTCCTCAGCTCTGAACTCAACTCTTCAATGTCATTTCTTAGAAAATTTCAAGGCAGAAGCAAAATCCCTGATGTCCCAGTCTACAATGGCTTACTTGAGCAACTTTGTAGCCCGTGAAGTTTGAAATTACCAATGCCATGCCCACAGACGGCTGAGCATCAGAAAAGCAAAAGGCACCCGAGTCGGACTCACCCCAGGTCCTGGATGATGAAACCGGAAATGGGGTGAGTTGCCCATGGGGTTGTGGGACTGGGGACTCTGAGGGGACTCACTCAGGAGTTGGGTGCGTTAGCAGGTGATGCTGACCAACAGTCTGTGTCTCAGTGCAAGGGACGAGACCCACTGCCGCCTGCTGCAGTCTCCATGACAACCAACCCAAGGATGCTCTTCTCAGCGGGCTCCTGTGGCCTAAACGCACCCCCCCCCCCCCCCAGCTCTCTGGCAGCTAAACCTTCTGCTGCCCTCACCTGGCATAGTCTAGTCAGAGACGCCCGAATGCAACAGCCTAAGGTGCCCACGGCCGTGCCCGGGGCTCAGCGCATCCCTCATCCCTCGTGTCTGCAGGCCAGCACAGCAGAGGGGCAGCTGCTGTGCTTTGCTAGAGAGGACAGAGCTCAGGCTCTTGGCACCCACCCTGCCCTTAGTAACGACTCCTCTCCCGGTGAGCCACTGTCCCCGGCCACTTCCCGTCACCCAGGCTTCACTGGCCATGGAACCGTGGGGCAGAGACGTGCAGCTTACCACAGCACATGCAACAAGGCAGAGAGCGGGACGGCAAGTCTCCGCCGGTCGGCTTACCTATGTCTGAAATCTTTATTTCTGACAGAAGACGGGAGAGCAGGGAATAGAAGAAAGAATGAAGTGTTAGCAGCAGGGTTAGAAGCATGATTAGCAGCCTGAGAACTTGACAGCTGCGGCACCGAACAACACCGTAACCAATAAAGACTCAGCAGTCCTGACACTGATGTATCTGATCCTGGATATTACTTGTCAGTGAGCTCACTTACAAGGCCTGGCTTCCCCCGCACTCCACCCCGGGCTGCGTGGACAGTTCCGCAATTTCTCCAGGACTAAGACTGACAGTCCCCAGACGGACATGCTCTTGGGGTACATACGCTCACGACCGTGTCTCTGTGCGCACTCCTGCCCCCCCCCCGCCCATGCCCCGTCAGCAGCCCTGGCAGTGGCCGGCACCTCATGCCATAGCGGGTGCAGAACTGGAGGGCTCAGACTATCTGGGGCAAAGTGGCACAGAGCAGCGGGAACATCCAGATGCCAACCTAGCGGCATATCTAGTGTTCTTTCTGAATTTCATGTTCTCCCTCCCTCTCCACCCTTTCCCACAGTCTCTGCCATAGCCAGGAGGGGACCTGGGAAAAGAGGGTCTGATTGGAGAGCTGGAAAAGGAGGTGCAGGGGGCAGGTGGGCTGGTGAAAAGATGGGCGGCTTCTCTGCCAGGGTGGGCCGGCTCTCTGCCCCTTCTGTGCTCATCCCAGAGATGGAGTGGGGGGAGGCAGGGATATAGTAGCCTTTCCCCTTGAGGGTGTCTGTTGGGGGTCAAACCCACAGCGAGAGCAAAGGGCCAGAGGACATCGGGTTCTCACTCAGTCTCATTTCTCACTTGCTCTGAGGCCACAGGCTGTGGGCCTCACTTCCAGCGGTGGCCAGAGACCTCCTCACTCACGTTTGTGTGTGTCTGTGTTGGTGTTTATGTGTCTGTGTGTGGGTGTGTGCCTCTCTGTGAGCATGTAAGGTGTATGTCTCTGCGTGCGGTATGCCTCTGTGTGTCTGTATGTAAATGTTCAAGTGTGCATGTGTCTGTGTGAGTGTATATCTGTGCATCTCTGTTTGTCTCCTTGTGCATGTACACACGTGCATGTCTGTGTGTGTCTGTCTCTATGTGCATCTGTGTGAGCGTGCATGTGTGTGTCTGTGCGTCCGTCTCTGTGTGAGTGTGCGTGTGTGTGTCTGTGCTTCCGTCTCTGTGTGAGCGTGCGTGTGTGTGTCTGTGTGTCCGTCTCTGTGTGAGCGTGCGTGTGTGTGTCTGTGCGTCCGTCTCTGTGTGAGCGTGCGTGTGTCTGTGCGTCCGTCTCTGTGTGAGCGTGCGTGTGTGTGTCTGTGCGTCCGTCTCTGTGTGAGCGTGCGTGTGTGTGTGTCTGTGCGTCTGTCTCTGTGTGAGCGTGCGTGTGTGTGTCTGTGCGTCTGTCTCTGTGTGAGCATGCGTGTGTGTGTCTGTGCGTCCGTCTCTGTGTGAGCGTGCGTGTGTGTGTCCGTGCGTCCGTCTCTGTGTGAGCGTGCGTGTGTGTGTCTGTGCGTCCGTCTCTGTGTGAGCGTGCGTGTGTGTGTCTGTGCGTCTGTCTCTGTGTGAGCGTGCGTGTGTGTGTCTGTGCGTCCGTCTTTGTGTGAGCGTGCGTGTGTGTGTCTGTGCGTCTGTCTCTGTGTGAGTGTGTGTGTGTCGGGTTATGAGAGGGGTGGATACTAACAATGCCTCCCGAGGGCTGTGACAGCTTTTGGTCCACCCGCTAATCTCACTCACCTGAGTATCTGAGCACGTGCTGACCCCAGGAAATAACCTAACAAGCCCTCCCGCCACCCTCCCACCCCCCCCACCCCATGGCTGCTCTCTGCCGGGCCAGAGCTATGAGATGACCTTCTGCTTACAGGTCCTCTGTCTATTCTAGAAGCCGCACATAATTCTCCAAGCCTCTGATTTCTTTTTTCTTTTTTTTTTTCTTTTTGGGTCACACCCGGCAGTGCTCAGAGGTGACTCCTGGCTCTGCACTCGGGAATCACTCCTGGCGGTGCTCGGGAGACCATATGGGATGCTGGGAATTGAACCCAGGTCGGCCACGTGCAAGGCAAACGCCCTGCCCACTTTGCTATTGCTCCAGACCCAACCTCTGATTTCTTGACTGATTTTGATTCCAGGGCTTGATCCCAGCCAGAGCTTCATACGCTGCCGCCCCTGAGGCCTACTGTGAAGGGCAGTGGTTAGAAATCACTCAGAGGGGCTAGCACAAGTGAGCAGGGCACTTGCCTTGCACGCAGCTGGCCTGGGTTCGATCCCGGGCAACTCATACAATCCGCAAAGCACTGCCAGGAGTAATTTCTGAGCGCAGAGCCAGGAGTAAGCCCTGCGCATGGCCGAGAGAGTGGCCCCAAAAGGAAAGAAAAGAAAAGAAATTGCCAGAACACTGTCCCACTGCTGCAGGCCTTCTCTGCCCTCTCTGGAGAAGACTGTGCTTCTCTAGCCCTGCTCACATGGACCAGGCCTAGGAGATGGGCGATGCTGTCCGCCGTGCATTTTCTCTTCAGACGACAGCGGGCTCCCCTGCTGAGTTAGGGCCTTCCCTCAGCTTGGGGTAGCTGCAAGCTCTGAGTGCTGGTGAGTGTCCACTGGCAGGACAGGCCTGGTTGCAGGGGCCCTGGCTGTGTGGTGCAGCCACCCCTTCTCTTTGAAGTGCTCACAGAACCGATTCCAATCTTTGCGGTGCTGGGAAACAGAACGACTGACGGAAGGCCAGTTCTCGGGGGCTGCTCTCAGCCCTCTACCTCATCTGAGGGCACCTGCCGGCCTGAGAAGACTTGTTTTCACGACAAAGGCTTGGGGGAGCAACGTCTGCTTCCCAGAGCTCCCAGTCAGGTCCCTGCCTGTGCGCTGCACAGAGAGAAAAGTCCCGGAGCCTGAGGGTGGGCACTGGCCTGAGCTCTGTCGTGGGGGTGGGCAGCTGGACCACAGAGTGAATCCCGGGAAAGGGTGGCAAAGGCTCCCAGTGGGCACAGGCACCTACCTCAGCTCCAGGATGTTGGTGACGTTCCCCGAGGGGAAGATCCTCCGGATGTAGTTGAAATCGCCGACGTAGAGGCTGCCGTCGGAGCCGCAGGTCAGGGCCACGGGGGCCAGCAGCTTGTTCCCGTCAGCCAGACCGTTGCAGCTGGGGCAGGAGATGCTTCTGCGGCGCCCGTTGCCCATGGTGCTCCCGATGACGGGGGGCTGCTGGGACACAAACTGGTTCTCCCCGTTGCCTTTGTGCAGGATGCCTGAGACAGGGGCAGAGGCACGGGCTCACCCAGGGCACAGGAAAGGGCCCTCGAGTCGACTCCACCGGGCAATAAACTCAAGACCCTCCAGGGCTCCCCCCTCCCCCATAAGGGGCTGCAGAGTGTGGGGGCAGCCACAGGGCTCGGTCCACAAGCTCTCATGACACTGCATGGTCCTGCCCCGGGACTCCCCCAGCCCCTCCCCCCCCACAACCATGGGACAGGCCAGGAGACGCCTGAGGGCCCACAAACGATGCAGACAGAGGTGCCCCCTCCCAATCCTTGCACCGTGTTTGCTGACTCCTTGGCATACCTGCTACATTTCTAGTTTCTGGAGCGATAGCACAGCGGTAGGGCATTTGCCTTGCGCGTGAAGCCAGCCCGGCCGAGCTGGGTTCGATTTCTCCGCCCCTCTTTGAGAGCCCAGCAAGCTACTGAGAGTATCTTGCCCGCACAGCAGAGCCTGGCAAGCTACCCGTGATGTATTCGATATGCCAGACACAGTAACAAAGAGTCTCAAAATGGAGACGTTACTGGGCCCGCTCGAGCAAATTGATGAACAACGGGAGGACAGTGTTTGTTTTTTTGTTTTTTATTATTTTATTTTTCTTGTTTTTTTGGGGGGAGGGTGGGGGGTATTGGGGATGATACCCCGTGGTGCTCAGGGTTTAGTCCTGCCTCTGCTCTCAGGAATTGCTCAAGTTTAGTTCTGGCTCTACTCTCAGGAACTGCTCCTGGTGGTGCTCAGGGTGCTGGCTATGGAACCTGGGTTAACTGCACGCAAGGCAAGTGTCCAATCCGCTGTATGAATCGCTTGGGCCCCTATTTATTTGTTTGTTTGTTTGGGGGTCCTGCCCAGCAGCATTCAGGTCTTACTCCTGGCTCTGCACTCAGAGACCACTCCTGGTGGGGCTCATGGGCACATACTTGGTGCCGGGAATTGGCCCTGGGTCAGCCCCACGCAAGGCAAATGGCCGACCTGCTGGACTATCTTTCTAGGACCTCTCTTTCTCTTTATATTAAAACTGTTTGGGGAGGTTTTCATTTAAACTCTGTCTTTCCCCTTTCATTCTCCTCGGTGAGCAGCACAGAATGACTCTCAGAGCAGGCACCAATGACTGTGCAGACAAGCCTGGGTACGCACACACCCCTGCCACATGGAGACAGGGCCCAGGGCTGGTGTCTATGCACCTTTGCTGTTTCAGTGGCAGCCAGACCTGGCAGAAGCTGTTCCCTGCGGAGCTGCCCAGCCGGACGCTCGCTGTTGATACTATGGCTCTGCTGGACACAGTCACAAGTGGCGAGTGCCTCTTCGGCGTCATTATTTTAAGGCGAGTTACAAATCTTGATTCTATTGTAAATTCTGGAAATAGTTCGTAAATGTCTCTCCACCCCCAGCCTTGATTTTTTCGAGGCATTCACATCACCTTTAGACCACCATGGGTGGGTGGTTGCAGACCATGCTCTAAGCCTTTGGATGCCAACCTTGGGGTGAAACCATGGCCTCCGGATGTCCCGCCCTCCTCTTTGGCTTCTGCTGCTCCGTCCCTTTCCTCCCTTCCCTCAGGCACTCGGGCCTCCTCCTCCAGGCTGGCCTCTTCTGCTTCTGCACCACAGCCCACACCCTGTCTTTCTTGAATATTCTTTCTACCACCTTCAGTGCTGTCTACACGGGCTGGTCTTACACATCTTCTGAGCCTCAGTTCAGTTCTCTTCACAGACTCCTAAAGCTGCTGGTGGAGAGACCCCTCCTCTGTGCCCCCAGAACGTGTCAGGCTTCCTCTCTGGGAGCCGTGTTCTGGGCACAGCAGCGAAACAGCTGGGCGGACCTTGGTCTCCAACGAGAGCATGAACTTGGGAGGCCTTTCACACGCCCAGGGAAGGGGGAGAGACAAGCACAGGTCGGCCCCTGAGGAACACTCCTGGCAGCCCCTTCGACTGCTCACACTTGAGTCCTCTGAAGTTCCTCCTCCGGCTGGCCCCAGAGACTGCGCCTGGGGCTCTTGGTCTCCGGGAGTCACTCACCGCTCTGGATGTTGAGGGCGTGATGCTTGTCCAGGCTCCAGCCCCCGAGCCGGGAAGCATCGAGCTCGTAGCCCTGAAGCACGGCTGTCCTCTTCTCCCACAGGATCAGGTCTGGGCAGGATTCATACTCATAACCCACGGAAACTGTAAAACAAAAACCAAGCAATCCAAGAAAGGCCCCGATGCAGAAGCGAACAGATCTCTTCTCCCAGCCAGGACTTACATGCAAGCCCCCTTACTCATCTTTGGAGTTGCGGAGAGTTGGGCTTTCTAGGCCATTGTGTGCCAACACAGGGCTACCACGGCTATTTAATATCCCTTATTATTCAGTCTGAGAGAAAATTAAGCAAATTTACTGGATGCTTTATTATTTTAAATTGTTTTAAAAAAATATTAAATCACCACGACATACGTCATGTACAACTCTGTAACTATGGTTCAGTCATACAATGTTCCAACACCTGATATTTTTTGGCTACTTTAAAGGCCTTAAGAATTGACTTAGGGAAATAATCTGGAGTGTGTAAAAGGTGTTAGGCATCTAAAGAGTCAGAGTAACGGAAAACTGAAAGTAATCAAAGGTTCAGAAGAGACAAGGGGTTGAATGGACCAAAGTACACCCACCCCAGGGATATTAGGAATTCTCACAATCAGGAGAATTATGGTTCTGAAGTCCACGTGGTTCCATGGAAACACTCACGGACTGATGCTGAGCTAAAAAATGCTGATTCTATGTCATGAGAGATATGCCTTCTGAAATACCATCCGTGAAGAAAGGAAATAGACTTAGATGTTAGTAGGTAATCTTATTTCTTTCTAGAAATGCCTATGAATTTATTTCCATTCATCGTCCATGTGTCAGTTTGTCATTAGCAAGGTTGGCATTCATTTTTAGAACTGAAACTAAAACAAAAACACTCACTTAGGATAAGCACAAGGCTCACTCGGGGCCCTCTGTGAGTTGCTTTCATCTCAAAGCCAGAAAATCCTCAAAGTGGGTTTCACTTTTCTTTCACGAATCCCAGACTCCTCAGCAGAGCCTGGGGTGACAGGCGCCCTGAGATGAGTTTGTTAAAGCCCACACGTGTCTGCTCCACAAGAAAGAAACAGCAGAGACCAGAGGCCACTTACCACTTGCCCTTCCTGAACAGACACTGCTTCCGGGGACAGGGACTGACCAATGTCCATCCCTCCAAATCTCTTGAGGACCATGAGAGATAGCTAAACCTGGGAGCACAAGGGTGCTGTTGATGTGGGCTGTCCTCATGGCTTGGACTCCCCAAACCTCCTACTGGTCCCCTCAGATTCAGGGGTGTGTGTCCCCCTGCCCTGGGGTGACTGCCAAACACAGCCTCTTCTGATCCTTGGGGTTCTGGGGGGGTGGGGCAGGGGCATCAGAGGCAGTTTGGTCAGGGCTGGGGTGCGGGGAAGAAGTGACAGATTCAACTTTACTCCCAGGGGACTCCTGCAGGGTGGGAGACCAAGCCGAGGCAACAAATGCACCCAGGGTCTTCCTGGGGCGTCGTCCTTGCTGTGCCCCTGCCCCTCAGGACCTCCACGACCTTCTATGGCAGCACGTGAGGATCACTTTGGTCCACAGGTGGTTCTGTAGGTTCCTGAGCTCAGCCGACTCCTACTTCCTCTCCCCTCCGCCTCATTTCTTCTTTCTTCCCACAACATGGCGTCCACTCTGCTTCCTCTGGAGGACTCAGGCGAGTGGAAACACAAGCCGAGTTCCAGGTTTCAGGAAAAACTGAAAGTTGGTGGAGGATCAGCCCTCCAGGGGCTTCCTGTTTGGGACCCTGCACTGGAAGCTGAGATGAACAGACCCCTGGACTCCTAAACACAACTTCTGCTTCTTTTTTGAAAGGGCAGCCAGACGGGGAGCCTACTCCTCTGAGGGAGTGAGCAAGAAGCACTTCCAGGAAAGGCCACACCTTAGCTCCTACACCTTGATGAACAGACCAAGAGTCCCAGGTCCGTACACCCCCAGACTCTGTGCTCAGAGTCAGAGAAGACACATGTACACTGGGGGGTTGGTGTTCCGCAGCACCAGGACAGAGCCCAGGGCCTTCCCACCTCAGGATTTGCTAAGCCTCATCCCCAGCCCTGGGTGACTCTATCTCAAAGGGTGAAGTTTTTTTTTTTCCCTTAAAGTTTTATTAGTGAAACACCATGAGGTACAGTTGTAGACTTACGAATTTTTGTGCTTGGGTTTCATTTATACAATGATCAAATACCCATCCCTCCACCAGTGCCCATTCTCCACCACCACTGATCCCAGTATCCCTCCTAGCCCCTATCCCCCCCCATCCCACCCTACCTCTGTGGCAGGGCATTCCCTTTTGTTCTCTCTCTCCTTTTGGATGCTGTAGTTTGCAAAAGAGACATTGAGTGGCAATCATGTTCGGTCTATAGTCTACTCTCATCACGCATCTCCCATCCAGAGAACCTCCCAACACCCTTTATTTGGTGCTCCCTTCTCTATCTGAGCTGCCACAAAGGGTGAGTTTCAACGCAGAGTATGGGGGTGGGGCAGGAGCTCAATGTTGGGGTGCCTCCTTCTTCATGGCTAAAGCGTCTTCTAATGTATCACACACCACTCAGGACTTGCCAAGGGCTCTTTGGGCTTTCTAGGCCATTTCAAAGAGCTGGCCAAGTGTCAGGACTTGGCGAATATTCTTGCTCTCTTTGGGTCATGAATGCTCTTCAAGGCCAACGCAGCTCCTGGGGTGTCTGAGCACAGAAAGAAAAGTCGGCGAAGAGGTTCCTGGCCCTGTCTTTGGGTCCAGGAAGGGAACTTACCGAAGGCCTCCGAGAGCCCGAACACCTTCTGGTTGTAGACGTCTGTCTTGTCCCAGATGAAGTAGTAAGACAGATCTGGCGCAGCAGCGAACCACTTCCGGAAGAGCCGGCCCTCTACCGCCACCATCAGGTGCACCTTCATCAGGTTAAAGGGGATCGTGGTGTGTGTGAGGCTGATCCTCAGGACGGATTTGTAGCCCGGGGTGCGGCTGCTGAGGTAGCTCAGCTTCATCTTGCAGCCAGAAATGGCGATTTCCTCCTGCAGTGCCTGGGGAGAGAGACCAGAATGAGAGTCAGTTGCGGGTGGGGGGTGGGGAAGGAAGGAAGGAAGTGGGAAAGGTGGAAGCAAGAGTGAGGAGGGAGGAAGAGGGGGCGCAGGGTTTGCAGAGGCAGAGGAGGGAGAGGACAGGGAGAAGAAGGCCGTGCAGGGACAGTGAAAGGCATGAAAGACCACACCATGCTACGTGATGTGGTCACCATTCAGGCACAGACTGTAATGCTCCAGGCTCTGCCCCTCAAAGGATGGAGGGTGTGAAGGGGCAGCTTGTGAGACATCAAGCCAACAGCTGCTCCCATGGCTGGAAGTCCACGGTGCCACCTTGTCTGTGCACCCCCCCACCCCGGCCCGGGCATCATGGGGCTGAGATGCCCATCCCAGAGCCTTACCCCATGTTCCCAGGACGTGGGGCTGCCACTGGGGTGCAGCAGGAAGACCCTTTCCCCTGACTTATGTGGGTAGTGGACTCGCCTAGGGCTGTTTCAACATCCCTGCAGCGAGAGGGTCCAAGGGCCTTTCCTCTTCGGAAAGCAAAGGCAGACCCTGCCGTGCAGCCTGATGCAGCAGGACCCACGCATGAACCCTTGGCGGGTGGCCAGGAGCATCTGCACACAGGCTCTCAGCATGCACGGATGGGAGAAGAGCCAGGTTGAGGTGGGAGGCGGGGGGGAGGCACTCTGTCCAGGGGGCACAAGATGGAAAGCTTGGCCACACCCAGGACTTTCATTAGCTCTGTGCTCAGGAGACACTAAAATCAACTGCAGCCAACAGAGCTGTTAATGGTGCTTCCACCCTGTGTCCATGGAGGAACTGGGCCTTCACAAAGAAAGCCGTGACTGTGCTGTCCACCTCCCTGTGGACTCCAACCCCATTTTCCCCGAACACAGGAAATGCTAGTGCTTGGCTGTAAGCCTGGGCAATCTTCATGAACAAGTTCCAGGCTTGCAGGGCCTGTGGGTTCATCTCTGGGGGTGTGGGGGGGGGGAAACATATAGGACTAAGCACAAGGCCAGGTTCATCCCTGGCACTGATGGCCCCTGAGCACTGCAGGCCCCAGCATTCCACAGGCCTCACATACTGAGCACTGGGGGATGGCGCTGAGGCCCCCAAGCACTGTCTGGAAGCATCCCCTAAAGAAAAAAAAAAAGGAGTCTTCTGATTGGTTCTGTGAATATTTTAACATCAGATGAACTAATGTCAGTGTGTGCCCAAGTCAGCCGGTGGTCAGACGGGGAACACGCATGTGGTCTGTCCTCATGTACTTCATGCATCAGGCATTAAGCAAGGTCTGTGACCCGGCAGAGCCCACGGACACTTGGCCCAGGGAGCTGTGGAAGGAGGGTGGGACCTTCGACCTCATTTGTTCCACAGTGCCTGCCCCCAGGGGAAGGTCTGGCGGAGGTGGAACCAGGGTTGAGTAGCAAATTACTGCTGTCCACCAAGACCTGTCTCCACTGACTGCCACAGCGTGCGAAAAAGGTCAGCCTGTCGGCTGAGACAGGCTGAATTCCTGAGAAGGAGGCGGGGACGCAGTGAGAATTTCAATGTGGGTCTGTTGCCTTCTCGGGGGATGGGCCGGGAAGCCCCTCAGCAGACACACACCGGTCAGCATGGCGGCACGCAAAGGCACAGCCTGACACGCCATCTGGCTCTGGAGCCAGACCCCGGCCTGCTCGCACCAGCTCCTCTCGTCCCCCCACCACGGGAAACCCACTCCGGCTAGAGCAAGAAACTCAGCCTTGTGTGGCCAAGAACTCCTCTTGATTCGATCCGGGTAAAAGGCATCTCTCTAGCCAGGCGGACCACCAGAGGTGGCCCGCGAAAGAAAAGAGAATGCATCTTTCCAAATGGTTCCCCTTTAATAATGATAATTAGGTAAAACGTTTGCATGTGTGGATTTGGGCTACAGCGTTCCTTAATTGGCCCGAAGACAGCCTCTATCAAATAATCCTAATTACTGCTGACTAAATAACTAATAAATAATGACTAATAATAAGCCTAATAACTGATGACTAAATAACCTGCATAACAACACCAGCGAGCATTTATTGAGCACTTATTAGGTGCCAGGCACTATGCAAAGGGGGTCATAAGTATTTTTTTTTTTTTTTTGCTTCTTGGGTCACACCTGGCGATGCACAGGAGTTACTCCTGGTTCATGCACTCAGGAATTACTCCTGGCGGTGCTCGGGGGACCATATGGGATGCTGGGAATCGAACCCGGGTTGGCTGCATGCAACGCAAATGCCCTACCTGCTGTGCTATTGCTCCAGCCCCTTATATGTATTTTTTCTCACTTCACTGTTAGTCTGAAGCTCAGTTTGGGCCCCCAAGCCGTACTCTTCCTGGTAGATCCCATCATCATGAATATTATAATCAGGAATAATAATAAATAATCACTGTCACTGTCCTCCCATTGTTTATTGATTTGCTCGAGCGGGCCCAGTAACATCTCCATTGCGACAATTGTTACTGTGTTTGGCAGATCGAATATGTCACGGGGAGCTTTCCAGGCTTTGCCGTGCAGGCGAGATATTCTCGGTAGCTTGCCGGGCTCTCCGAGAGGGGCGGAGGAATCGAACTCGGGTTGGCCATGTTGGCCCCTTGCAAGGCAAACTCCCTACCCGCTGTGCTATCACTCCAGCCCAATAATAATAATAATAATAATAGTGGCTGGGAAGAGAAAAGTGGAACCAAACTAGCTGGCAGAGTGGGAGGGGTCGGGTAACGCTGGTCGCAGGCAGTTTACAGAGTGTCTGTGAGCCCCTACACCCCAACGTGGCTGCCTTTGTGGGGTGGGGGCCGGTGGGTACAAGGGCCAGGTGTGACCCTTCCCCATCTCCCGAGGGGCTCCTCTGGGTTCCCAGGGAAATGGAGGCGCACAGAGGAGGGAACGGGGTACCTGGATTTCCGGAACAATGGGGCCTTTCTCTGCACAGGAGCTGGCGAAGGACGTCAGGGGGGACGGGGCCACGATGGGGTTGGGGCGGGCGAAGTTGCTCAGGTCGCAGCTGGGAATGTCGTTCTCCTCGTGCCGCATGACGATGGTCTCCATGACGAAGAAGCGGTCCCACGGCAGCCAGAGCGTGTGCTCCTGGGTGAGGAAGGGCGCCCGCTCGAAGCGCAGGCTGATGGAGATGCCGCCGTTGGTGACCAGGTCGAAGCTGTTGGTGGTGTCGAGGACACAGGTGGACAGGGACCGGGGGGGGGGGGGAGAGAGAGAGAGAGAGAGAGACCACGGCGCCTGAGCTCTGGCTGGGCTCCAGGAAGCTTTACAAAGGGCAGATTCTCCTGGGGCCAGAGCCATAGGACTTGCAGGGAGGGCACCTGCCTTAAATGTGGCTGACCCGGTGTGGTCCCCGCCACCCCGTATGGTTCCCCCGAGCACTGTCAGGAGTGATTCCTGAGTGCAGAGCCAAGAGTAACCCCTGAGCATCGCCAAGTGTGGGCCTCTCACCCCAACCCAAACAAACAACAACAAAAAAAACAACAAAAGATGGATTCTTTGTAGGGGATGCACCTTTACTGCTGCCGGGAACTGGCAGGCTGCCTCTGTGGTGGTGCTCCTGGTCCTCGGAGGCTGTGAGCATTCAAATGAGAGCAGGGCAGAAGCAAGCCCTGAGCCTGTCCTGCTCTGCTGCGAACTGCTGTGCAATTCTGGGCAAGTCACTTAGCCTCTCTGAGTCTGAATTTCATTCCGTTCCCCCCCCCCCCCCCCCCCGCCACACACACACACATCTGTAAAAACCTTAAGGTTCAAATGAATTCTTCTCAAGTTGTGGAACTTTTCTGACTCTTGAGCAATTTTCATTTGAATGTCACAGATCTCTGGACCTCTGGGGATGATACCCGGAGTTGTTTAAAGGCATCGTCTGAATCACTGTATCCTAAAAGTAGCTTCTCTCAGAGACTCAGTCCCACCGCTGAGACATCTCTGTGACAGGGTGCCAGCGCATGTGAGCCCTTTGCCAACTGGGCCCTTCTGTTCCTCTCCCAGTGTCCCCTCTGGGGGTGCCCGTGTCCCATGACTCCACCAGCCACTGGGAGCTTGTTCTGTCCACAGAAAGGCAGCGACCAGTTTGGCTACTCACGACAGTTTTTATTCTACTCTTTGAAATGGAGACTTTCTAGAGCCTCGCCAGTTGTTGGCTGGTTAGAATGGCAGAGGAATGTGCCAGAGATGCCGTGCATTTACCCAAACTAACGGCCCAGCAAACATCCAAAGTGGGTCCTTACTTTGTGGTGGGGTGAGTCTGTCCAGTCCTCACTGCACCTGGGCAACTGGTCTTGGAGAGCTCAGGGCTGAACCTTGCTCTTGCCCCCGAGAAATGTACCGGATGGCATCGGCCCATCCCATTTCCCCACCTGCCCTTCTCCTGCCCAGAATCTGCAAAGATCTTGCACTCAACTGTCCGAATGCCAGCCCACACTCGCAGGAGACAGTGGCTTGAGGCTCTTTCCCTCCCTGCCTCTGAAGAAGCTTGTCACCACATTCTCTGCTCTCACCCAGCCCTCTCTGAGCCTACACTTGGGTAGAAGGAGCTGGGCACCAACATTCTCCAATATGTAAGACCCGGGACAGACTGGCAAGCCATTTATTTTGAATGAAGGCGTCACCTCCTGGGAGCCAGACCCTTCCTGGGTTGGGGAACAGAGCCAGAGAACAAGTCCACCGAGACGAGACAGAGCAGCTGAAAGAACTCTGGTCTGACCTGCAAGGTCCCTGCAGGAGAGGCTCCGTGTGGGGACAGAAAGACAAATACTCCCAAGGCTGTGAAGAAGGGGGACGCAGCTGGCCTTGGCAGGGCTGGCGTCAGGCACGGGGCCAGGCTGGTTGTGATCAGGGTGTGAGTCAGGCACAAAGAGAGCTGCTTCTCAGAAAGCTCAGGCTGCCTGGCCAAGCTCTGTCACCATGCCAGAGGGGAGTCCCCCCTGAGTGTCCACCTCCTCATCGACATGAAGGCTGTGATGATGGTTATATCATCAGGACCAGAACCAGGAAGGGTCACCAATTAGGTGGAAGTCGATGGAATTAGTTTGAGAGAAGGGAGAGCAAACAGGCCTACACATTGCCTGGGCATCATGCTCTTATCATCTTTATTTTTCAATTTAATGAGTCCAAACTGCTTCCGTGGTCTGATATTCTTCGACTTTTTTCTTTATGATTTCTACTTTACATTAAAAAATGATCTCTTTGGCTAACCTCTGCCACTGCTTTCCGTTTCTGAGTTTCTGTTAGGAGGGTTGATATTTCAGTGTGAGGGATGTGTGTGTGTGTGTGTGTGTGTGTGTGTGTGTGTGTGTGCATGTGAGTGCAGGGAGTGTGTATGAGTGTGTTTAGAGGCAAGCATGTGAGGGGGTATACTGTGGCGTGTGAATCGGTGGGGGTGTACGTACACATGTGTGTCTATGTGAATGTGTGGAGTGTGTGTGATTGTCTGTACATGTATGTGTGCATGTGTGTGCAATGGGTCTAAGAGAGAGAGAGAGAGAGAGAGAGAGAGAGAGAGAGAGAGAGAGAGTGATGGGGATCTGGACAGTCATGGGGATGAGACCGGGGCTCCCAGGCCAGTCGTGGCGGCGAGTGACAGGGAGTCCGCCGCCATGGGTGCCAGCCCCATCTGCAGGCACAAATGTCCTCAGACAAAAGAGCCCTTGCTTCATTATCACCTTGGCTGGGACATGTTAGCGTCTGATATCAGATTAAAGAGGTGCTAAAATCAATCAGTTCAGAGCTGATTTCCAACACCGAGTGAAAATCAACCTTATGGGCCCACACTTAGCCAGATGGTCAGCCACCACCTGATCTTATTAAAAACAGAGGACTTGTCACCACTGACGGCCTAAAGGTTCCCCTCTCTTCTCCCCGGTCCTCTCTCCCAAATATTCCTGTTGCTGATGCCACAGCCAGCACCTGCCCATCAAGAGATGGTCCGTGATTTCAGTAAGCAGCTAAATCCTTCCCAGCTACCTTCTATGCGCCACTAAAAATGGAGCCACAGACCATGCTGATCGAATGATGACTCTGTGCAAAGTGCTCCCCCAACCAGGCCCAGCAGAGAGAACATTAGAACCTTGCTATGGAGGGAGGAGTTGGGACCTCGTTGGGGAAGACACAGATGGGCAAGGACACCTCACCATAAAGGGGGAGCCGGGATAATTCGGGAATTTTGACTCCCTTCATTGTTGGCTCTTGTGGGAGCTCAAGGTCTGAGTCATTCAGCACCAGTGGTGGCCGGGACCTAAAATTGGCATCTGTAGACCACATGAAAGCAGGGGAGGATTCTGGAGCAGCTGGCTCAGTAAAACATAGCTCACAGGACAATACTCAGTACCACAAGTGGAGGAGCACAACACCATGTGTGAAAGGCCCTCTGCTTTGCCTGAGAACCAAAGCTTAAAAAACAGCTTCATTTAGATTTCTGGTTTGGGGAGACACACCCAGCAGCACTGGGTGGCTAGGGAGCTCCACGTGGCCCAGTGCTAGGCCAGTGTTCTGAGAAGGGCATGGGGTGCAGCTGAGATGGTGTGGGTTCACTCATCACCCTTTCTGCTATTTTTGACATGATCCAACTACGTAATTTCTGGTCAGTGATTCCAGGTTTTAAATAATTCGTAAGTATTTAGTCTCTACATAACTTTAGGGTTTAAAGATTTAAATGCTAAGAATTAAAAAAAAAAATTGGGGATGGAGCAATAGCACAGCGGGTAGGGCGTCTGCCTTGCATGCGGCGACCTGGGTTTAAATCCCAGCATCCCATATGGTCTCCCTGAGCACCGCCAGGAGTAATTTCTGAGTGCAGAGCCAGGAGTAACCCCCGGGCATCGCTGGGTGTGATCCAGAAAGAAAAAAAAAAAGAATTAAAAAAATCACATTCTCTGTTCAGCTGTTAATGCTGAGATTCATATTTAATTTTAAAAGCTTTTCCCTGTTTTATATAAAAACAAAATAGTATGAGACTAAAAATATCCAAGGCCAAGGAAAACAGGGGCCAGGAGGACTGGTCAATGGTCGGAAGCCTGTCACACGTGTGTGTGGGTGGAGGGCAGTTAGGATAGAGAAGGGACCGGTATGACAATGATAGTTGGAAATGATCACCTGGACAAGAACCGAGTGTTGAAAGTAGGCAAAGGGATGTACATGATAACCTTTCAGTGTCTGTTTTGTAAACCATAATGCCCTAAAGGAGGGGGAAGGGGAGAGAGAGAGAGAGGAATGAGGTGGGGAGGGGAGGGGGCAGGAGGGAAACGGGGACATAGGACATTGGTGGTGGGAAATGTACCCTGGAGGAGGACAGGTGCTGGAGCATTATATATGACTGAAACCCAATCACGGAACAACTTTGTAACTGTGTATCTTCACTGTGATCCAATAAAAAATAAATAAATAAAAATTTAAAAAAAAAAAGCTTTTCCCTGTTTTTAGTTTGGATTTTGGCTCATGAATTTTATTTCTGCTTGTTGATAAGTAATGTAAGAGTGGAATGTTAATAAATTTCGGGTGAGTTCTGCAATGTCAAAACGAAAAAAAAAATTAAAAAGTGACTTGGTTGAAAATATAAAATGCACCACGTGACTCCCAGCGGGGTCTCAGGAAATCACGTGGCGCAACGCCAGTGCTCAACCACTGAGCCACGATCGCTGGCCATGACCTGGCTTCATTCGTGCTCAGAGGGGCAGAGTCACAAGGCCTTCCGGGTCACAGGTCGTTGAGCTGGGCATTAGGTGGGCGTCTTCCTCTCGGGCCACATGGTCACTGCAGCGGCGACCCTGGTCCACTAACCCAGGCCACCTACCTGCCATCCTGCCGGCTGATGGTGTATCCGAAGAGGGGGTTATTGACGAAGCTGATGTTGACCCCCACCAGCGGCGTCCCGTCCGAGGTCATCACTTGACCGCGAATGACACATGCGTGCCTGTGGGCCGAGAATCAAGAACAGCGAGATCAATCCTGAACTCTGCCACGAGAACCCAGGGCCCATGAGCACTCATGTATCTTGCCCCCACCTCCAAGGGGATCGGGGGACTCTCATAAGATGCGTGACGATCTTTTCTTTCCCAGAGTGTCTTCATTTTAACTCTACGAGTATCCTCTTAACATTTTTCATTACTGACCATTTTTTTTTTTGCCAAGGGAAAATAATACTAAAGGCCCTCCCGTTGATCATCGATTTGCTCGAGCGGGCCCAGTAACGTCTCCATTGGAGACTTTGTTGTTACTGTGTCTGGCATATCGAATACGTCACGGGGAGCTTGCCAGGCTCTGCCGTGTGGGTGAGATACTCTCGGTAGCTTGCTGGGCTCTCTGGGCTGGAGCGATAGCACAGCGGTAGGGCGTTTGCCTTGCACGCAGCCAACATGGCCAACCCGAGTTCGATTCCTCCGCCCCTCTCGGAGAGCCCGGCAAGCTACCGAGAGTATCTTGCCCGCACGGCAGAGCCTGGCAAGCTCCCCGTGGCGTATTCGATATGCCAGACACAGTAACAACAAAGTCTCCAATGGAGACGTTACTGGGCCCACTCGAGCAAATACTATATATATATATTACTCTGTGCTCAGGAGTTAATCCTACTGATGTTCAAGGGACTGTACACAGTATGAGGGATCCAGTGAGGGTCAGCCACATGCAAAGCCAGTGTCTAATACTCTGAACTCTCTCTCTCTCTATGTCCCTGCCTGAGGAACTTTTGTGACTCTGGGTACACTAGTCATGTAACTTAGGGATGTAAACCAAACACGTACTGTTGATAAACAGTGATAAACAGTCAAGGAAATCAAGGCAGAAAACAACGGATGTGTTCAGAAGTGAGGGTTATAAGCATTATATGGCCTGCTGCCTCATTCAGGAACTATGGAGGGACTCTGAGCTATGCCCTCAGGAGCACACAGATCCACGTCCCGGCCTACCCAGTCTGTGAGAACCTGAGCCAGTCTTCCGGCCAGGAGCAGAGTCAGTTCCACGCATGGCCATGGCCCTCAGTGCCACAAACAGTCTCCTCGACAGCAGATCTGGAAGTAAGCATCTGGGGAGAGACCCCCTTCTCCCTGCCACTGGACACAGAGGGGCAGGTGCAGTGGACACGCCACCTGCCCCAGGCCCCGCCCACTCCCCTGTGTCAGTCCAGATAACAAGTCATCTGCTTGTCCCTGCCATGCCAGCCTGGTGCTGCATAAAGCCTCTCTCTGCACAGTGTCCTTCTGCCTGACCCAACACCATCCCTACACCCGCCTGAGACCCCTGGCTGCAGGCAATGCGCCCCCCACCCCCACCATCTTTCTCTGAGCATCCCATCAGCATGAGCCCATCTCTTCCAAAGCCGACAAAGGCGTCCGGCTCCCCAGTCATATCTGGTGTACCTCTCCTCCCTGCTAGAACAAAGACTTGGGACAAGGTCTCTGTTTCTACCTGCAAATGCCCGACAAGGCCTTGATCATTATCGTTATTATTACTTTCAGGGCTGGAGTGATAGCACAGCGGTAGGGCGTTCGCCTTACAAGCGGCCAACATGGCCGACCCGAGTTCGATTCCTCCGCCCCTCTCGGAGAGCCCAGCAAGCTACCAAGAGTATTCGATATGCCAGACACAGTAACAACAAAGTCTCCAATGGAGACGTTACTGGGCCCGCTCGAGCAAATCGACGATCAACGGGAGGGCCTTTACCTTTACCTATTACTTTCAGGTTTGGGGGTCATACCTACTTTGCTCAGAGGCTACTCCTGGCTCAGTGCTCAGGAGTCACCTGCAGCTGTGTTTAGGGGCCCATGTGGTACCAGGACCAGAACCTGGAGCATCGGGCAAGCAAAGCAAGTGCTCTTGCATTGAGTCCCATTCCCCGGCTCACGATTCTTACTTTGCTGATGGACTGACTCGACAAGTAGGACAATTAGGGATCATCTAAGAAGATGGCTTTGCAGGCATTTCAGAAATAGAAACTTCTGAGCAGATGACAAACAGAAGGACCCCAAAGTGAAATAAAAGAAACAGAAGCGCAATGACAAACAAGACCGATTCTAAAGCGGAAGCGGAGAGAGGACCCCCATTTCCCACTGGGGTGGCTCTGAAATGAACCCCGAGGCATTTGCCCTCCGCATAAGCCGAAGACAAGTCGTGGGAAAGTGATGATAAACTTAGGAGGAAATGGGTCCCAGAGGCTGTTCTTTACTTCCATTGACAAGACGGGGTACCCCCCACCCCCATCAACGCTCCCCAATGCCCATCTGCTTGCCACTTTCCTGGGGGCCATGGCACATGGGAACCCAGATGTAGGCACTGCCCTAGGCATGTTCCCTATTCCCCCCCCTCCCCCCCACACACACCAAGTCCTCAAGGCCTTTACTGGCTTGGGGATGTCCTAGCCTGAGGCCTGTGGGACTCCCCAAGTTCTCAACAGATCACCTGCATTTACCAGGTGCCTGCATCGTTACCTTCCCAGAGTGAGAAACTCTTCCCTGTTTGATGAGAAAAGCAATTAACACCTGGCTTGTAAGCAGCTGGTCTCTCGATGCCAGCCTGTCCTTCCTGAAGGCAGGAGGGCGGCCCGCGACGTGCCAGGCCCAAAGAGGTCTGGGCAATGCTAACTCAGAGGCCTCCTGCCCAGGCCCATGGTCCGAAGGCAGCTGCCCAGCAAACAAGTCAAGTGGGAGAGGCTTAGCGAAGACTCTGGGTCCTGCTGTGAAGGGTCCCGTGAGAGGGACATGGAATGATCTCTGTTGATGGGGAAGATTTATTCTGCCAACTGTAGTCGGCCTTTAACGGAGGAAAATTGAATTTCTCGTTGCTGGGAACTACGTCCTCCTCGAGCGTCACTAAAGAGCTGACCTCCAGGCCGTCAAGACTCCCCTGCCCTCTTCCTGACAACTGTGCTTCAGGTCTAGCCCTCTGGGGGTGGCTATTTGGGGTGCAGGGAGTGGGGCGGGGCTCTGCCAGTAGCAACCATAAAACATGCCAAGTTCTGAAAGAGTTGTAACACTAGGGAGTGGCTATTGGGGGGGGGGTACACTGGGCTACTGCCCCTCACAACATGTAGGCCAGCCTCCTTTGATTCATCTCGCTGGGGATTCCCTGGCAACAGGGAAACTTAAATAAGCACCGTGGGCAGTCCACAGCGATGGGATTCTAGCCTGGCTCCTCTCCTGGGCATTACTCAGGTTTCTGGGCGAACGTGAAAGTGAGTTCTATGCCCTTTTGACGAAAGAAGCATTTGGCTCAGGATCTAAGTTCTGGATAAAAACACTTCCACCCTCCTTCTGTGTGATCATGATCTTCAGGGGCCAAGAACGTCTGGTTGAAGACAGAGTCTTGCCAGTACAGAGGAGATGGGTGAATCTGCCCCAATTTCATGTCCCTGCCATGAGCTTTTCGTCCAGGGTGGTTTAAAAAGCTGTGGCAGTCTTCCTCTGTTTGCTTGATGGCTGCTGGTAGTGGTGTGCTTGTAAATATTTAACTAGTAATGGAATGAAGGAAGGAAGGAAGGAAGGAGGGAGGGAGGGAGGGAGGGAAGGAGGGAGGAATAAGGAAGGGAAAGAAAGAAAAGAAGAAAAAAGGAAGAAGAGGGGGAAGGAAGAAATAAAAGTCAGGCAAGCTTTAATCTGCAATTTTCCTGATTGCTGCAGCAGACACACTTTCACTGCGGCCAACTGTACAGAGCAAGGCGTTTCTGAACCCAGAAAGACGAGGAAAGCGAAGCTCGCAGACTGCTGTGACATGCTATTTGCATCAGAAAGATAACAGTTTTAAAGAAACCTCAAGAGCAAAGACGAGTGTAAAGGACAGTGAAATAGTTTGGAGTTGATGGGCTTTAAAGACTGATTACCTGTTTGGTTGTTTTTTTAGCTTGCTTTTAATTTTATATAATCTACTTTGGGGCAATAGTTGCTTAGTAAATCCAATCTGCAGAATCCTTGCCTGTGTCATCAGCAGCCTCGGAGGCCTGTGTGCATCCCAGCCCCCACTGCGCCCAGACTCGAGCCAGTGTGGTTTAGGCGGCAGCTGCTCTGGCTAGAAGCTCCCCAGCGGCCTCACTCAGACACCATCCCCGATTCGCACCCTGAGGTGCAGGTGCCCTTCCGCCCTCAGCCTGCAGTGGCATGGGTTCCCAGGCTCGCCCTCTCTGTACTGGCAAAGCAGGGCTGCGGGGGGGGGGTTCTCTACTCACCCAGGGTCTCCCTGAGCTGCCATCCCCACGGTAGGCGTGGGCAGCTCCCTCCAGGACAGTAATTCAAGCCCTTGCTTCCACTATTCCAGTGTCTCAGCCGTTCCCCAGACTGGCTCCCTTCTGCCCTGTTGCCTTCTTGTGGCCCCCATCCCACAGGGTGCCCCTAGCCTCATGCCGTGTCCCCCATTTACATTATTTTCACCTGTGGCCTCCTGGCCGATGGGGGGGGGGCACAGGTGCCCCCTGGCTGGGAAATGCTGGTCTATCCCAGAGCCTCCCACACTTAAGGGCCTATGACTCCTTTCTGAAAAAAAAGGGGTGGGGGGAAATCACTCAGTTCTCCCTGGAAATCTGCTTTCTTTTGAGGCGAGGGAAGGCAGTTTGGGTCACACCTGGCGGTGCTCAGAACTTACTCCTATCACTGTGCTCAGGGGTCTCTCCTGGGATCCTGTGCAGTGCTGAGGACCTGAGTTGGGTCATCTGCATGTGCGAGGCAAGGGCTCTTCCCTGTAATAACCCTCCAACCCCAAGTATACCTTCTTTATGGGAAAAAAAAGGGCTCCCTCCTTTGCACCTGAGTCTACTACAGCACCCTGCTGTACCCCCGTGCTGCCCACTTTGGTAAACGCCTCTCAAGCTCACGGGACTCTCTCCCAGATGGGTGCAGGGCTGCATTCTACCAGGTACCCTCCCTTCACTGCCTCTGTGCTTGCTCAGGGGTCAGGAGTCAGGAGACAAGGCCAGCATCCTTGGGGCGAGGG